CAGTGAAGCAACGTCCTCCACAACTAGACTGAAGAACAAAAGGACAGCAACTTGTCTGTTCCCCTTCCCCCAATTCCCCATCACTGTTCCCATCCCCCCAATTCCCCAATAAAAAAAAAATCTTTAAAAAAAAAAGAAAAGAAAATGAAGTCAGTGTATCCATAACCTGGGAAGTGGTAGGGACATTGGTTGGAGACAGAGTTGGGGGCCAATTTTGTAAAGCCACCATCTTTTTTATTGAGCTATAATTCATACACCATAAAATTCACTTTTAAAGTGTATGATTTAGAGGGTTTTAATAGATTCCAAAGTTGTGTACTATTACCACTATCTAATTCCAAAACATTCCACCACCTCAAAAAGAAATTCAGACTCATTAGCAGTCACTCCCCATTTACCCCCTCCCCTAGCCCTTGGAAGCCACTAATCATTCTGTTTTTTGTCTGTATGGATTTGCCTATTCTGGACATTGCATATAAATGGAATTACATAATATATGGCCTTTTTTGTCTGCCTTATTTTACTCAGCAAAATGTTTTCAAAGTTCATCTTTGTTGCAGTATGTATCAGTACTCTGTTCCTTTTATGGCTGAATAATATTCCATTACATGGGTATACCACATTTTGTTTATTCATCATTTAATGGATATTTGGGTTATTTCCACTTTGGGGCTATTGTGAATAATGCAACTGTGAACATTGTATACAAGTTTTTGTTTGAGTACCTGTTTTCAATTTTTGAGGGTATATACCTAGGAGTGGAATCAGTGAGTCATATGATAACTCTGTGTTTAACTTTTTGAGAACTTCCAAACTGTTTCCAAAGTGATTGTGATATTTTACATTTTCACCAGCAATGTATGAGATTTCCAATTTTCCCACATCTTTTCCAACACTATATTTTTGGTGGGTGGGGGGAACAGTGTGTTTTTCCAGAGCTCATCAGCTCCAAGTCAAGTGGTTGTCTTCAATCTAGTTGTGGAGTGTGCAGCTCAGTGGCCCCTGTGGGCATCAAACCGGCAAACTTGATGTTATGAGCACTGCGCTGTAACCAACTGAGCTAACTGGCCGCCCCTTCCAACATTTCTTATGGTCTATCTCTTTTATTATAGCCAGTCTAGTGGGTATGAAGTGGTATCACATCATATAGTTTTGATTTACATTTCCCTAGTGACTAATGATATTGAGAATCTTTTCACATGCTTATTGACAATTTCTATATCTTCTTTGAAGAAATGTCTATCAAGTTATTTACCTAGGGCGGCTGGTTAGCTCAGTTGGTTAGAGCGCAGGCTCATAACACCAAGGTTGCCAGTTAAATTCCCACATGGGCCACGGAGCTGGGCCCTCCTCAGCTAGATTGAAACAACTACTTGACTTGAAGCTGATGCGTCCTGGAAAAACACACTGTTCCCCAATAATTTTTTTAATTAGTTACCCATTTTTAAATTTGGTTATTTATACTTTTATTGTTGAGGTGCAATTCCTTATATATTCTGGACACTAGTCCCTTACCAGATATCTGATTGGCAGAGATTTTTCTCCCATCTGTGGGTTGGTTGCCTTTTCACTTTCTTAATATGTCCTTTGAAGCATAAAATTTCTTTTTAAGAAGTCCGATATATCTATTTTCTCTTTTGTTGCTTGTGCTTTTGATATCATATCTAAGAAACATTGTTTCTTACAGTCATTCAGTTTTGTATAATATATTCTTCATTGTATTAAATAATGAAAGAATCATTTCTAATTTTTAAAAATTTATTAGGGATTTCAAACTAAGAGCTGAAATTTTCTATTTTTAAATTTTTTATTAGAAGCTTCTTTGCAGAAGCATATGATTGATTTTATGAAAAAAATGTATAGTTTCTGTTCAAGGGATATGCAATTCTCTCTGCATAGGTTGCTATCTTTTTCAATCTCTCTCTGTTATCGCCTCTTTCTACCTCTCTCTGTCTATGTGCATTGTCTGTCTTTGTCTCTCCGACTCTGTGTGTGTGTGTATATATATATATATATACATATATATATATATGATTTTATTTATTAATCAGTTTCTCCAAATTCTTACTTAATTTTATCTATTAGATTTTACCTTTGTTTGTGTGTACCTATTGATTGTGATACTCATTTCCTTTCTATCCTTATTTCCTTTTTTATCTACTAGTCTTGAGAGAAGTAAATTAAGTATCCCAGTACAATTGTATTTTCATTTGTTCTTGCTTCTTGCATTTCTACTTGCTTTTGCTTTCTGTATTTATCTGCTATGTTGTTGGTGGATACATATTTATGACTGGGATATAATTTTCTGTTAAGTAGCAATACATATGAGTAGTGTCCCAGTTTACCTTATTTAGAGTTTTGAACCTGAAATTTCAGAGTCTGATATTAATATTACACATTCTGTTTTATTTCTGTTTTAATTATCCTAGTATCTCTTTGTATACTCTTTATTTTTAACGTTCTTTATCAGTCTTCTGAAAAAAGCATAGCGCTGGATATCATTTTTTAGCCCAGTGTTCCAGTTATCTATTGCTATGTGACAAACCCCATACTTATTGTCACAAAACAACCATTATTATTAGGCTCATGGAACCTGTGGACCAGGGATTCAGACAAAGCACTTCAAAGATGGCTCTTCTCGGCCCCATGATATCTTAGGACTCAGCCAAAATGCTCAAATGGCTGGTGGTGACTCAAATGGCTGAGGGTTGGAATTATCCAGAGGTACCTTCACTCACATGTCTAGGGCCTGGGCTAGGATGACTCAAAGACTGGAATCATGTGGAATTGTCACCTGGAATCCCTATACCAGATTCTTCCTTGTAGCTTCAGTTATCACAGTTGATCACTGAACTCTGAGAGGGAATGCCCCAGCATGGAGCTTGCAGAGAGTAAGCCTTCCAAGAGACCCTGGCAGAGATGCATGTTCCTTATGACCTTGTCTCAAAGTACCATTGTGTCACTTCTGCAATAGTCTGTTTACGGAAGCAATTAGAGGCCCACTCAGACACAAAGGGATAAGACAATAAGCCCATATCTCAATGGAAAGAGTGTCAAATAATTTGGAGGCTATATTTTAAAACTGCCACACCCAATCTCCTTGTTTCTGTTTTAATAGAGGATTTCCATTTATATTAGTCCATTTATATTTAGTGTAATGGTTGACTTAGTTACTCCCTCCATCTTACTTTGCATTTTTTATTAATTTCATATCAGTATTGTTTTCTCATTTGCCTTGTTTCTTATTTGCATTTGCTTTGATCAAGTTGCTGTTAGCTTCGTCTTTTCCTTTATTTATTTGGAAGTTCTACTATACTTTTCTATCCTATTAATGGATATCTTCTCTTTTCTTGATTTTATAATCAAACACATTTCTCTGCTATTATTTGAAAAACTCACCAATTATTTCCCCAATGAAGATGCATTCTTTTCCCTATCAGGGTGCTTTATTTCACACTTACTGCCCCTTCCCCACTGAAGAGATGAGATCTCTTATTTCACTCCTCTCATTTCCTCCTCTTCCCTTTCACTTCCTCCATGAATACTAATTTTACTTCAAGGTTCATTGTTCACCCTTGCATCCTCTTTCCTTCATCTTCTCCCAAGTTAAGGTTTCTGTACTTGCTAATTTCATACTTGTTAATTTGTTGTTTGCTTGGAGCACTTTCTTGCATGTTTACTTCAAATTGGGTACATGGGTACTATCTCTCTCAATTATTTCATAATCTCACACTTCTTTCACTCTAATAAGTAGCTTCTATCTTGTCTTGGTAGAGAATTTTTTATTCAATCCTCTTATCCCAGTAATCCATCGACACATATCTCAGTAATCATATTAACTGTCTTCAAGCTTGTGGGGTTGCAGATAGGAATTCCAATATCAATTTGAGTCTCATTCCTTTGTAGTGAATTGTAACTTCTGTCTCACACTTTGTAGTTTTCCTAAAAGACCATTCTTACTTTTCATTGGCTATGGGTGTCTCACATGACTACCCTAGCTGAAAAGGAGGCTGAGAGAGTACTTGAGAAATGGGAACAAGATTGCCATGTCTGGCCTGAGAAATGGTGTTTTATGCCAGTCTCAGTCTATAGATAGTAATGCTATATGCTAGAAATGCCTGAAGGGCATTCACCCAGGCCCAAGTGAGACATTACCCCTTTCTAAATCAATGTCACAACCAGACCAATGCTTGTGGTTCTTATTATAATTGCAAGATGCCCTTCAGCAATAGCCATTAGGAAATTTTTAAAAGATACAGGTTTGTTACTTACAGGGCCTGGAAATTACACAACACACCAGGGCCGCACAACACGGTCAGGGGTAGAAGGAGAGAGAGCACATTCGTTTCACAGGCTCACTCTTTATTGGTGAATTTATAACATAAGAGCAGAAATTTAAAGCATGGGAAGAGAAAAAAGCAGTTAGCTTAAATGGTCAGTTATCAAAATCAACCAAGATCTCTAAACCAAAGGAGCCTCAGTGAGGGGAGGTGGCCTGGTGCTTCATCTAGTCCAGTGGCTAGCAGTGTGTTTATTGAGATAGCTGCCTTTGAAATGAATGCCTCTTAGAAATGGATGCCTCAGCAATCAAAGCTTAAATCAGGCACTTGCATTACAAAAAAAAAAAAAAACACAAAAAAACGGTCAGGGTTTACACCACAAATAGAAACAAGATTGACATGTCTAGGCTCCCAAGCAAAGGATGGCTATTGAGTGGGCACTATGTCACATTCTGAAAACCCCAAATTTCATGTTTTCTGTACTATGCAGGGAAATCACACGTTTTCACTACCCACTTGACATCATTTGAAAGGGTCTACAGTGACCCTCAGGATTGGAGACATATTGACTTAACAAAGACATTCTAACTCGTTTAGTTACTTTAGCAGATGTATTAGTCAGCTCAGGCTGCAATGACTAAATACCACAGACTGGGTGACTTAAACAATAGAAATTTATTTAAGTTCTGGAGTCTGGGAAGCCCATGATCAAAGTTCTGGTAGATTCAATTTTGAGTGAGGCCTCTCTTCCTGGCTTACAGATGTCTGCCTTCTTGCTATCTTCACATGGAATTTCCTCACTGCATGCACATGGTAATGGGGAGGGGGGAGCTCTCATGTCTCTTCTTATAAGGACACTAATCCTATCAGATCAGGACCCCGTTCTTATGACCACATTTGATCTCAGTTGCCACCTTAGAGGCCCCATCTCCAAATACAGCCACACTGAGTGTTAGAGCTTCAACATATGAATTGAGATGGGATACATTCAGTCCATAACAGCAGACATGGTCAATGTCCCACTTACTTGCCCTCAGCATTTGCCATTCCTTTGCACACCAAGTCTGAGACTTTCTCTGGCTACTGAACACCACTCAGCCCATGCTCAGCACAGGTGGAAGTACTGCGGCATTAACACTTCCTGAGAGCATTCCTCCACCAATAAATAATGAGATTTGGTGGATAAATACCACAGATCCCTTGGTCCTTGATGCAGTCACTCCAAAGTGTTTGCTTTACACTGCCCCCAGAGGTTCCCAGAGAAATTGAGCCCCAGTTGCCCACAGTGGAAACTGGCCTTATAATATCCGCTTTATTTTCTGCCATCCCTGTCTCATTTCACCACTTCCCTTCCAGTGTCTTCTGGGATCACCTCCCAGATAAAGTACTCACACTTGAATCCTTGTCTCAATGTCTGCTTCTTGGAGGACCCAATCAAAGTCAATGATGAAAGAAAAAACAAAGCCGACCATTACCTTAACTTTGAAAGCCAGGACAGACCCTGGTGGAAAGGGTATAGCCTCTGGCACATATTAGATGATCAATAAATCTTTGTCAAATGAATGACCAAATTTTTCCTTTGTGTTCCAGATATTGATGAATGTAAACCACCCATTGGTATATATTGTGGAGCAAATGCTCGATGTCAGAATGTTGAAGGAAGTTTCTACTGTCTCTGTGACCCTGGATACAAACTCCTCTCTGGAGATGCACAATTCAAGGATTCTAATGAGAACACTTGTCAGAGTAAGAATACTCTTTTTTTTCTAATTGGTTTCAGGTGTACAAAACAGTGCAATAGTTACAATTTGTACCCCTCACAAAGTGATAACACCCCTCCCCCAATCCAACACTCCACTCCCCCCCACATCATACATATCTATTGCAATTATTACAATTCTATTGATTCCATTCCCCACACTATACTCCACATCCCATGACTATATATATATAAAATTGTAGTCAACATACAATATTATTCAACATCAGCTTCAGGTGTACAGTGCAGTGGTCAAGCCTCTATACCTTCCATGAAGTGGTCTCCCTAACAAGACATGTGACCATCTGACACCCTACAAAATATTTACAACATAATTAATTATGTTCCCCGAACTATCGTTCATATCCCTGTAGCAATATTGTAGTTACCAATTTATGCTGTCTAATCCCTTCCCTTTCTCCCTCATCCCCACCTCCCTCCCATCTAGCAATCATCAGTTTTCCCTCTTTATCTCTGAGACTATTTCTGTTTACTTTGTTCATTTATTTAGTTCTTTAGATTCCACATATAAGTAAGATCATATGGTATTTGTCTTTCTCTGACTGACTTATTTCACTTAACACAATGCCCTTTAGGTCCATCCATATCATTGCAAATAGTAAGATTTCATTCCTCTTTATAGCTGAGTAATACTCCATTGTATAAATGTACCACAGCTTCTTAATCCAGTCGTCTACCGATGGGCATTTTGTTGTTTCCAAGTCTTGCTTATTGTAAATAGTGCTGCAGTAAACATAGGGATGCATATATATTTTTGAATTAGCATCTTGGGTTTCTCTGGATAGATACCCAAGAGTGGAATTGCTGGGTAATAAGGTAGTTCTATTTCCAGTTTTTTGAGATACCTCCACTGATTTCCATAATGACTGCACCAATCTGCAGTCCCAACTGTACACCAAGGTTCCCTTTTCTCCACAACTCACCAGCACTTGATGTTTGTTGATTTATTGATGATAGCCATTCTGACTGGAGTTAAGTGGTATCTCATTGTGGTTTTTATTTGCATTTCTTTAATGATTAGTGAGGTTGAACATTTTTTCATATGCTTTTTGGCCATGTGTATATCCTCTTTAGAGAAATACCTCTTCATTTCCTCTGCCCATTTTTTAATTGGGTTGTATTTTTTTTGGTGTTGAGTTGAATGAGTGTTTTATAAATTGTGGATATTAACCCCTTATCAGATATATCATTGGCAAATATCTTCTCCCATTCAGTAGGCTGCCTTTTTGTTTTATTGATGATTTCCTTTGCTGTGAACAAAACTTAAGTTTGATGTAATCCCGTATGTTTATTTTTTCTTTTATTTCCCTTGCCCGAGGGGATATATCAGTAAAAATATTAATCAGGGCAATGTCTACAAATTAACTCCCTATGTTTCCTTCTAGGAGTTTTATGGTTTCCGGTCTTACATTTAAGTCTTTAATCCATTTTGAATTTGTTCTCATATATGACATAGGTGGTCCATTTTAATTTTTTTTACATGTGTCAGTCCAATTTTTCCAATACCATTTATTAAATAGACTATCTTCATTTCAATGTAAATTCTTACTTCCATTGTCATAGATTAAATGACCATATATGGATTAATTTCTGTTCCATTGTTCTATACTGTACAAAACAGTACTGTTTTGATTACTATAGCCTTGTAGTATGATTTGATATCTGGTAGCGTGATACCTCCCACTTTGTTCTTATTTCACAAGATTGCCATGGCTATTCAGGGTCTTTTATAGTTCCATATGAATTTTAGGATTATATGTTCTATTTCAGAGAAAAATGTCTTTGGTAGTTTGATAGGAATTGCGTTGAATCTATATATTGCCTTAGGTAGTATTGACATTTTAACTATATTAATTCTTCTTATCCATGAACATGGTATGTATTTCCATTTATTTGTATCTTCCTTGATTTCTCTCTTCAGTGTCTTATAATATTCTGAGTACAGGTCTTTTACTTCTTTGGTTAAACTTATTCCTAGTTAATCATTTTTGAAGCAATTGTAAATGGGATTGATTCCTTGATTTCTTCTTCTGATAGTTTATTATTGGTGTATACAAATGCAACTGATTTCTGAATATTAATTTTGTATCCTGCTACTTTACTAAATTGATTTATGAGTTCTAATAGTTTTTTGGTGGAGTCTTTGGGATTCTGTATATATAGTATCATGTCATCTGCATATAATGACAGTTTTGCCTCCTCTTTTCCAATTTGGATGCCTTTTATTTCATTTTTTTGTCTGATTGCTGAGAGAAAATTCTTGTCTTCTTCTTTCCCTTCCTCATTTTTCACTGAGTCTAACTCCAGAAAAGATGTGTGTGTGTGTGTGTGTGTGTGTTGAAAACAGGACATGTTTCTATTTCCTGAAAGGAAATGGATGATGGAAAGAGGAGGGAACAAAGGAAAGAATGAAGTTCAGAGAAATAATGGGGTCAAGAAGGCAAGTGGACTTTGGAGTTGGAAGCAACAAAGTGGTGAATGAGACAGAATTCTTTGAATTACAAAGAGAAATCCATTCAGGTTAACTTAAGCAGAAAAGACGAGCTTATGATAAGGATGTATGGATATGTCTGGGAACTCAAGGACAAAAATATAGCTGGGCTTCTGGAATGAACTGAAACTAGGGACTCAACACTCAGGGTGCCCCAGTCTTTGATACTCTTTGAGTCTACTCCTGTCTTGTCTTTCATTGCAAACTGACTTTCTCTGCTTCTTAGTCCACAGGACAGGAAATATGGCCAACAGCTCCAAATCTTACCATTGTTGTTGATCCAACCACCCAAAGAGATATCAATTGACCCTCTTTGGACCTAATTGCAAAGTCTTTGAAAATGTACAAATTGACCCAGTTTGAGTCATATGGCCACCCTTGGATCTGTGTCCAGGGGTAGGTGCCATGTTGTATAAGCATGACCACTCTCATGGAAACTATATAGATGGGGAAAGTCTACACCCAAGAAATAAGAGACTTGGTAAACTATCTTTGAGGTGGTGGCTACAGTTGGAATGATAAGAGAGAGAGTCTTTAAAGCTTATTAGCCAAGAAACAAGAACACTAATAGCCAAATATTTATTTCATTTACACTATGTGCCAGGAACTACTCTAAGTGTTTTACATGCATTATTTCATTTACAATAATTGAATGAGATAAGCACTGTAAGGCTGAGTAGGGTGTACGGGTTAGGCATGATGGGATGAATGGTTTCCACCCTTTTGCTGACTTCTCATAGATCCTGTACCAGTCAGTAGTCCTGGGTATCTGCCTTAAGGACTGGAAGAAGGGGAGTATTCCAAGGAGAAGTACAAGGCCGGAGAATCCCAGCATCTAAAAGTCGTCGGATGTGATGGTTTATTTTAATCCTGGCTTCTGACTTAATGGGGTACCGTCTGATCGCATTTGGGGTTGCGGAAGGCTTTAGGGTGACCACTATGGGCATCTGGTGGGCTGCCAGCCCTGGTAGGTTGGATTCAGCCCAGACCAGCGGGTAAAGGTTTTGGAACTCCTTGAGGAGGGCCTTGTGACTTTCTGGCTGAAGATGGGACAGGTAACTAAGATTTCAGCTGGGGGCCCAAAACTTAGAATGGCCTTGTCCTCCGAGAATGAGATTTGGGCTCCTAATTTTCTTAGAAGGTCTCGGCCCAGGAGCGGATAGGGGCATTCTGGTATTACCAGGAATGAGTGAGTAACTTTTTGGGCTCCTAGATCGACAGTCCGTTTGGCTGTCCATGGGTAAAGTTTATTTAGGCTTCCCATTGCCCCCTGGACGGCAGTTCTGGAAGTTGAGGGTGGCCCTTGTGGTTGGGTCAGAACAGAAGGGGCAGCTACAGTATCAACTAGGAACCTTATAGGACAGCCCCAATTTGGACATTTACCATGGACTTGTGGGGGCTGAGGGGTATTGAGCCCTGACCCCCTCAGTCTTCAATGTCTCCCATGGCTAGGATGGACCTTGAATTAGGTCTCTGGGGCTGGCGAGGGCATTCGTTTTGTCCAGTGCCCCTTCTCCTTACAGTAAGCACATTGGTGTAGAGATAAGCCTGGCCTCCGCTTTGGCCCCCCCATAGGACGCTCTGTGTGGGGCCGCGTTATGAAGCCCGAGTTATTTTGGGATGCCAGGGCTGCGATGGTGACTTTCCCCAGCTGCTTAGCGATGGCTTCCTCAGGGGAGTCTCGGTTGTCAAAGACTTTCTGGGCGATGCTTAGGAGCTCAGACCTATTCTTTCCCTGAAATCCTTCCAGTTTTTGGAGTTTCCTTCTAATTTCTGGGGCCGACTAGGAAACGAAAGCTAAATTGACAGCGGCCACGTTCTCGGGTGCCTCTGGATTGATCGGAGTATAAACTCAATAGGTTTCCAGGAGGTGCTCGAGAAAAGCGGAAGGGGACTCCAATTTATCCTGAACAACCTCACTCACCTTGGTCAGATTGGTGGGTTTCCTAGCCGCCAAGCAGAGTCCTCCCAATAGATGCTGGTGATAAGTGTCCAGGCCCCCCTTACCGACATCCATGGTGGGATCCCAGTCCAGTCGCTGGGTTGGAATTAGGCGTCGGAGCCTGTCAGAGTTCACGGGGTCATTAATGTCTGACCAGGGTCCAAACTTTGTGGTCCTCCTGTAAAATACGGTCGCACTCCTTGGAAGTGAAAAGGGTCTGGAGGAGTTGTTGGCAGTTGTCCCAGGTGGTCATATGAGTCCTGAAAACGGACTCCAAAAGAGAAATTAAGGCCTGGGGCTTCTCCAAAAATGGGGGATTTTGATGTTTCCAATTGTATAAATCAGTGGTGGTGAAGGGAACATAAACAAGTCCCACCCCACCCCCAGGCTACATCTGGCGCAGAGGTAAAGTAGTCGCAGACCCAGGGAGTTCAGGGGCCAGTGGAGCAGGGGACTGGGACTGTCTGCAGGTGAGTGCATATGAGGAGCCACTCCGGGTATGAGGTGGCGAGAAGGGAGAAGATTGGAAGGAG